TAACGTCTTACTATTTTCTTTTGGTTGAAGTCAATTTCACTATAGAAAACTTGTCTTCGTTTCAGGTTGAATGTGAAGACTCCATGTTCCGTCAATTTGAAGGTGGGTTCCTCCCATTTCCAGCTTCACTTGTGTGAGCACCAGCTGCACACAAGAATCTTTGATTAGTTTTTCGTTACCGGGTGCACAGCTTATATCGCGGCGACCGGAAGGGCGTATCTGCAGACTTAGCTGGGGAGCGCGGCGACAGCTGCGTGTCTGTGGAATGTTTCCTGTGTAGATGACAAACAGCTAAGCCGTGCAGCCGTCTGCGCTCTCTTGTACCCACACTCTCTGGTTTTTGCCCTAAGACAGCACACTACAGGGTCTACGGACAGCTAAAACTCAATCCCTTTAATGGCGCCAACTTTCTTCTTTTCTCTGCGCTCTCTTGCCTGGATGGCGATTTATGGCCACTTTGACCTTTCACATTCCAACTTTTCACGCATACTAAGTGGCTCATCCACCCCGATATCCCTTCCCCTCGAAAAAACTCATCTCCTGGCTCGCATCGTGTTTTTTGTACCTCACGATGCCTTGGCAGTGGCAGTCCCTTATTGCTCTGCGCTCTGGCCTATCGTGGCAGGACCCCCACCAAAAGTTTTAGTTGTCACGTAACCCTCTACAGGCACGCAAGCCGACGCGTTCGGGATAAAGTCCGTAGACACGCCCTTCAAACAGCCGTTTTACTGTGACTAAAATAATATTGGCGAGGCCTTCGTTTCCAGATGTTCCCCTTCGATTCGTTATCGTGTGAGATCGTACTGGAGAGCTACTCGTTTAATACGGACGAAGTACGGTTGCTTTGGCACGACGTTCCTATAACAATGATGGAAAAAGTATGTTAATAATCGGTATAATTAGAATTCTATGGGATTAATAGTTTCTACAATAGAAGATGAAATTTTGATACATGGCGCAACCTGAGGAAAATCAAATCGATGCTTCGCCTCTATCAGGGCTCCATAATCCAATCAAAAACGTTTTCTTCAGGTCGAATTACCCGATTTTGACCTAATCGGTTGGTCAACCGATCATCAGCGACTGGAATACCCGAACGGTATCTGGGATCGAGCAAAGGTAATTCACTCGAAAATAAAAGTGTCTAACTCTAATAAATATTTTTACGCTGAAAAAGGTGAAAGGGTTGCCGCAACATAGATTTATTCGCATTATTGGTTCCATAAGTAACCCAGCCATTCAGAAGTCGTATATTTTCATGAAAAATGCTTGTAGGTGAAATTTACTTTTGCTCGACGTTACGGCTTCTATCTCTTTCAATCGTATTTCCCCACATCGTTGACGGTTATCAGTTCGTGGGTCGGTTTCTTCTTCGACGTTCGATCTGTGTCAGCAAGGTAGGCAATTATTTAACGTTTCTTTCCAAGCTTTGCAAGTCCATTATTGATCAGAACAAAAACAGAAGGAGACCAAGCTTTATATAGCCTTGTTCGCTGCTTATGAGGGGGAAGCATTTGGGGCGGCGGCGAAACTCGTTCTCCTTCTGTTGCTGAAGCGGGTAGCTAAACGGGTGAACGACGAAAATTCGTGACGACGACGTGACACGAAAGACTATGTTCTCGTTGCTCGTTCCCTACAGCTAAATGGAGTAGGTGTTAGGCACTTTGCCAAACCGACCCCCCTGACACTCCCTTTCATCCGCAGCGAATAAGGATGTACTTCTTGCGTGGGAATCAGGCTTACACGAAACGTGGAAACTTGGAACAGCAGGAGAAACCTAACAAGCTTAAAGATAGCTCCTGTGAAAAAAAAAGAGTAGGATAGTTGGCTGTTCAAATTGTTGTGACAGTACGCTGATTACAGTAACTTCCCAAGAAGAAAAAAAGCAAAAGAGTCCTCAAGAACACCATAAAAATCGTTCCCTCACAGTCACACCACTGTCCGGTCTCTGCGCAACCCCTGGCTCACAAATCGCTTTCTCAGACCTCCATCCAGTAATATCATAACCAATGCAAAGAAAAGAATTTTGAAACTACAAGAAGCGGACAAAAACTCTTCAAAAAAAGTAACTTCAAAAGCCCACGTCCGAATTTAGGTTACGTAGCGCATCTTTAGTGCATGTCGAACTTTTGCAGGCCCGAAAGATTGCTCCCCTCGTGATTTGCATAGGCAGAACTATTTATGGGCACGATCACCGGCAGCAAAAAGGACATGCACTTCCGATTAATGCCCGCCGTCCCAACAAAGAACAACTGAGCGACCGTCCGTCAGAGAGCATCTAGCAAGTGGGCGGTCCAGCTGGCGGGGTTAGAACTAGAACCTTCAGCGGCTCTGGCTCGCTCCTCGCTCGCTGTGGAGTCGCGAACACAGTGGACAGTCTCTAGCTTGGGTCTGAACTACTTGCACAAGGAAGGACGACCTGATTCACTCGAGCGCGGGGGCTGTCTTTAATTGTCTCCTACCATGTGATGGTTCTTGCTCTTGCAACGCCCCATTTCTGGTAGGAACCCACTCTCCCAACTTTTCTTGCGTTGTCGACATCTTTCCAGAGCGCATTTTTCGTCCCGCGTTTTTTTGACTGAAAGAACACGACCTTGAAGAGGGGGAGAGAAGGAACAGGATCAGGAAAGGAACGGAGAAAAATGTAGTAAAAAGAAAAGGGAATGGACAGGAGGCTTTGCGGCTGACGGATGTCCCGAGCAGGGCAAGTGCCAGCGTGCTAGCTAGTCAGCTTTTCTCTTCGTATGCGCTCTCTCTCAACAAAACACATTAATTCACTAGTTTCTAGGAATCGTAGAGACGCAGACGAGCTGAGATTGAGCGTGAGCTCTTACTGCCTATATCGCCTTCCTTCACCCTTTTTCTCAATTCCCACTTATTTCAGTTACTAAAAATTAACTAATTGTGTTGTCAGTGTAAATTGATAAAGTCCATTGTTATGCCTATTGTATTGATTGTTTAATTATTCATTCATTTATTTATCAAGGATTACTCTTGGAGTGTCTTCACTTCTTGCGCTCACCTTTCAGTTTGGCAATGTACTTCGCCATCTGACCACGTGTTAGCTACATTAAGGTCAGTTACTTTTACTCTGCCCAAACTACACAGTAGTTCCCTGCGGACGGTTGGGCGTGTCAGCCAGTATGAGTGTGTCACCCTATCAGAGCCGTTCTCTGCCTTCTTGTTGAAGAGCGCATGCGACAAAAAGTGGTAAAACGAGTAATACGGGAGCAACTAGATCAGTATGTCACTTGCCGGCTTCAACAACTGGCTTAGAACGAGTTTGGCACCGCGCCAAACGCAGTCGCACTGACACGCCCAACCGTCCGCAGCGAACTACAGTATACTAGGCGCAAACAACAGCGCTTTCGCCGTCGGTCCCAATTGATATCAGCCATACTCGACAATCGCTTATTTCAGTGCCTTGATGTATGGATGATATTTTCTGTGATTTTTATTTTTTGTACTCTGGTTGAGTTAGCTATTGTTTGTCAATTGAACAGGTATGTTACTTTCTCTGTGCATTTGCGTAAAAATTAGGAAAGTATATCCTAGCTAGATGACTTGACGTGGTGCAGCACTGCCACATTGAGTGAGTTGGACCCGACACGGATGACCCTGCTTTGACGCCTCTTTTGAGGCCAAGGCACGTCGTACGTTGGAGATCCTCAGCGAATGGGGTCATGTTTAGTAATCGGAGATGCTGAAAAACTTTCAAAAACAGTTGATGCAAATTTACCTAAGGTGGGGGAGGGGACGTGACGGCATTTTCTGCTCTACTAGACTAGGCCGTGGCAACTCCTATCGTCTGCTCAAGAATATGTCGCAACCATTTATTATTTCATTAGGAGAATTGGAGCACTCAATTTTTGAATATTTTTAATAAAAGAGATCTGTGATCTATAAGTCAATCTAAAATTCCAGATGGGAGCGTGAGCGACAGATCGGTTCGAAGGTGCTTGGTCACTGGCTCAACCAAATACGGTCAGTTTTATGAAAATTCCTTTTGGTAGTCGTTTACCTTTCCATGGTTGTGCGGGCAGTTGTCAACAGCATTTCCAGCGCTGTCATATGTGCTGTTCCCGTGATCAGTCAGGGTGGTGTCAAGAGGGATGGAATGGCCCAATGGTTTTCACCACTAGTTATTTCGTTTCCGAACCGATCATCAACCGATCACTATTGGTAGAGAAAGACAGCCGGGGCGGAGTCATCCTACCCCTCCTGCCACCCCCATGATATCTACTTGTCGACGCTTTTTGAAAGCCTGTGGTGTCCAAAACGCGCTCATGAAAAAAGCGCGCCACTGTCCGTTCACTGTGTTGTTTTTATCGACACAAATAACAAGAAGTAGGTTACAAGACAACTAAATAAGCGACATTTTCCAGGAAAACTCGGCGAAACGAGAATCGCTCAAATGGTGAGGGGGTCCGGCGACGGGTTCCGTTGAATTCTGCACATTCACCATCAAATGACTCACCTGCGCATAATACCGTAATCACTAAACAGACGGCCAACTCCATCATTCATCAACGCAAACCCATGGATCAGGTCAGTTTCTTCGCAACTCCATTGACTGTTGTTCCTTTTATGCTTGTGAGGGTGTGTCTAAAGGCCGTTTTGTATTAACCCTTTACACCCCTCTTCCAGCTCCGGCAAGAATATGAGAAGCGGTTTTCCCCTTGGCATAAACTTTTTCCGTGGAAGTAGTTAAGTTTATTGGAGGCAGTCCGCTGAATGCGAACATCCAGTCCGCGCGGTTCAGAGCCGTTCGACGCCGGG